TCGCAGCGGATACTGGCCAGCTCCTCCTCCACAGAGTTAATCTGCGCTTGGATTTGTTGCAGCAGGAAGCCGTAGCGGGAATCCGTTTCTGCCAAGGAGTTCTCCAGAGAGGTTTTCTGGAAGTGGAAGTGCAGGAGCTCAGGGCCAGAGCTCTCCCCATCCCTGCCCAAGGCGGGAGTTTCCCTTTGGGGGAGGGAAGAGCCCCAATCCCTGCCCCACATACCGTGCTGAGCTGCGCCTGCAGTTCGATCTCCAGATTCTGCATTTCACGTCTCAGTTCCGTGAGCTGGTGGCTGCTGGTCTGGATGTCCTGGCTGCTGGAGGTGACCTGGCGGTTGACTTCTTCAATCTGCAGGAGTCAAGCCCCAAACACACAGTTTGTAAGTGAGAAAACCCCACGGGGAGCAGATGTGCTGACTGAGAGCTGAGCTCGCCAGGGAGCCTGTCCCTCTCATCCCAGCCTCATGGAGGAGAGCCTAGTCATTGCTCCATAGATGCTGAAGTTCCACCCAGGTCTGTGTATCAGCCCTGGCCTGCTTCCCCTCTGCCACTGCAGTCATCCCACAGCACTTTGTCCTTCCCATTCCCCAGCTGTGGAAGGGAGGTGCAGGTGAGCAGCCTCCCCCTTTCAGCTGAGGGCGTTGCATGGCCAGTGCCAGGGTGTCTGGGCTTCCCCACAGAAGGAGACGCTGCTTGGTGTGTCGCTACGTACCTTGACTTCGTACCACTGCTCCACCTCTCTGCGGTTCTTCTCAATGATCTGCTCGTATTCGTTTCTCAGGTCATTGAGTACCTTTGTCAAGTCTTCTCCAGGGGCAGCATTGACCTCCACACTCACGTCGCCACCAGTTTGAGACTGCAGCATCCTGATCTCCTGCAGAGAGTCCCAAGAGAGAAAGAAAGAGCCCAGGTCATTTCTGGTGTGGGGACAGTGGGCAAAGCAGCATGAAGGCACAAAGGAATGACAGTCACTGGACATAAGGCTGAATTGACTGGATGTGTGTCTCTGGGAACCCTGAACAATTGACGTACTGTCTATGGTTTTGCCTTTCTGTTTGGATCTTACCTCCTCATGGTTTCTCTTAAGAGCAATGAGCTCATCCTTCAGGGACTCTAGCTC